ACTGCATCAGACGCCACTCCCTCCCCGACACCAAATAGGTACTATAAAAACAGGTATAGGGGTGAAAGTGATGGAAATCGTATTGGGAACCCACCTCCGGAGGGATCGTCCGATTTTGAAACTTGTCAGAACGTGAGGGTCGATACTTAGTGGGGCCGGCCGTACTGCGCGGTACACATATATCCCGCGCATGGCAGATCACTTGGGACAGTGCGGGCTATATTTGTCCCACACCCATTTCAATCATTTTTTGCGCGCGCGTAGAAACTGAACTATTCTGACAACATTTTCTCCATTCAGAACCTCGTGTAGTTGCGCAAGGGGCCTGGTGCGCCGAGTATAGACTCAGGCTACGCATTTGTAAGGTTAGGGTGGATTATTGACGCTTGTGTTTATAGATCGTGAGGCGATTTTCCGTTCGGGCAATGCGACAGTGGCCGAGACGCACTTGATACGATCAACTGGATCACAGTCAAACTCGTTTACTGAAGAGCACTGGAGTAGTGAAATCACCAGTTTCGTCACTGCTGCTCCACCGAAATTCATCCAGGTTCGTTTCTGCCTTGCTATACAGTTCTCAATTTACTGCCAAGCATTAAAATCTTCCTCCAAGCTCCGCTGAATTACTTTTGAACTCGAACTTTTCTCGCAGATGTTATTACTCAGACATTCCGTCAAGCGAAACGATCACTTCATCTACCATTAACTTCTCGCTTTCTTAACAGCTTTGACAGCTTACAGCAGAAAAAGAACGCCTCCGCCTTAAAGGCAGGTCGCCTGATAAATTGGTCTCCCATTGTGAACCAATGTACAGCTGCTTAGAGCAGCAGCAGTGCAGAAAAAACGAAGATAAATGGCCAAAATACGAGAGAAGGAAGGATCCGCAAAACAAAATTCTTGTTTCTCCCGCCGATTTCCGTGTCGGGTGAATTTATCGGTGCTAACGTCATCACTGTTGACGCTCTGCCTCCGCCTCTTCCCCAAAACGGCTAGAGTCCGATGGCGAGAGACCAGAAGCTGGGGCAGCCAATTTTTATGAGGAATAGGGTATTGAGGGGCGCAGGTAAGGTCATGCCATTGCCATCCAGGTGCGCCAGTCCAAGCCCGCGAAAGCGCCACATTTCGCTTCCTGGGGCACAGAATATCTTTGTAGCAGGCACACTTGCACTTAATCAGCACACAGTTCATGATGTTATGTGCTTTTAAAACGACATGGACCATCAAAGGGAATCGCCACTGCACATAGATGTGCACAGAATCTTTTCGAAAGACAAAGATCGAGAGAGTGCGCATCAAATTGAGATTTTAATAAGTGGGGGCGCTATCGCAGAATACTCTGGACGTTTCTAGACTAGACCTAGAGGACAGAACCCAAGGGAATGCAGGTGCTCAGCATTCTGACTACGCGAAAGCAAGCTTAGTCCATTTAATGAAGAAGAGATTTTCATGCGTTTTTGAGTACTGCCTCCATTTGGCCACGTATCCTGCGATAAGCCCCAACGTCGTCAAGAGTACCTGTCCGCTGTCAATTTTAAATCAGAAGCGAGATCCAGTTGCATATTCCGTCCATATGCTCTGCTCACACATCCGGCAGAAAAGCAAGTTCTTCCCACAGAGCTCGTCAGAATCGGTGGGTTAAAATGCTAAAGCTCGTTAATTGAGCGACTACCCAGGAAATCAGTTGGGATAAAGGTGACTCTCGTGTCAAACCGAGTCATCCATCCTACCTCATGGTGGTTTCATCACTTTATACTGGACCTCTTGTTCTTCAACCCGATGTTTTCAGGTTAAACGCCTCGCCTAGTGGTGTAAAGTGATAGCTCTCATGTAATCTTGACGATAAACGCTTTTGTAGGAGCAAAAGCTCGGCGAAATCCCACTGGTGCGACTTCTCGTGAACAATGCGAACTTCAATTTCTGAAAACACAGCTTGTGGGTTAGCAGGGACCATTGAGGGAAAGTGCCTCCCGACTAGCGAACACGCTTGAGATGGTTCGGCACTACCACTAACTATGTCATAACTTTACAAAATGCAAATACTGGAGGAACTGCTGCGTGCTCCGGCCCCTATGCTTTTATTACCCATCCTTACATCGAAATTGTCAACACGCAAGTCATTCCCAGTATATTTTTTTGCATAGAGCGGTACAGAAAAGGGCACCACGCCAATTCACATGCAATATTTAGTCCTAGAAAAGGGCCGAATCGAGGTCTCTCAACGTGGGTCTGAGAGGAACTATTCCCCACCAACATGAACCTTTTCATCACATTCTTCCATAAATGGCTAACTGGAAGAATTCCATTTCGCGAAAAGGTAGACTATTCCAGACCGCGGTTTGACTGTGTGTGGCGATTGAGCTCGGATGATCGCAAATTGGCGTCTTTAGCAGTGTCTGGGTCTCACTCGTTCCTATGTTCACTCGCCCTCTTGACACTGCTCCCTCCCTCCGGCGTCCAATATTTCTTCGCTGTAGGACCGTACAGTGTTTAGAATAACCTGCAGAATGATGAAGATTCAAATTCAATCTTTGACGGCTTCTTTCGATTTCTTCTTCACTGGTCGAACTACCAACACAGCTTCACAATTCCATTTTTGAATAGCACCGCTTCGCTTTCTGCAGTAGTGAATATTCTTAGTAATCGATGTGAACCAATGAAGATTGTGGGGGCCACGGGAAGCACGGACAAGTTCCACACACGGTCCTATATCAGTAAAGAAAAAATTTTGGCCATGGGCATCTAACAACGATGCGGCTCTGCTAGTGCAACATGTCGGGCCCGGGAGCCAATTCAATACCAGGGTCATTTACCGTCATTTTTCAATTTTGCAACAAGTGCTGTAATCGAGAAACTGAGGGAAGGTGGGCTAAAAACGCTAGCGATAACAAGCAGTCGCTCGAGGTTTCCATTAGGTCAGCGTTGTTTGCGTTACTTGAAAGATATCCTTCAGCTGCTCTAACCCTTGACAACCGTATACCCCGCCGGCGTGCCCCACCAAACAGGTTGCGTGGGACGGTATGGCCCGTTGTCGGGCCACAACGAAAAATTCCTCGACAATCGCCTATTTTCTCAAGTGTTCAAGTGATTAATTGGAGGCCTCTTGCCTGACCACACACGAAATGATTCAAAAACTGATAACTTATAATGGTAGGAATAGAACCCTGCTTATCAAGTGAATACAAACAATTTTTGAGCTCTTTTACTCGACAAGAATCCCGCTGTTCAGCCGGCTGTTGTTACATGGAAAAAGAACGGGTCTCCAGGGACAGTGTGGCGCACCGACGGACCACGGCTGCATCTCACAAAAAAGCGCGTGGTTCCACGTGCCGGACAAGTTCAGAAGGCGTTGTTGTTAATGGGTTTGAAGCATGGATTGCACATGCGCAACTTATCCTTACACCATATTTCCTTTCAAAAAACGCATGTCGATAAGGTAATCAGAATAACTTCCTCACGAGCTCAATCCTCTGATGAGTGCCAAAACTACAATCTTTCTAAGGGACTGCCTTTGAACGATTTTATTCGATGTGTTATGTGTTCAGGTGATCAAAGCGTATCGGATCTTGTCGACCGACACTCCTACGTTGGTCGTCGAGGTGGCCTCTGATCCACCAGCAATATTTGAAT